CGGTACGGGCGCGACACTGAGGGTTGCGATCCGTTGCCGGACACGAAAAAAGACAAAAAGGAAAAAAAAAAAAATATATATTAGCTCAAAGGTGTCTCTCTTGGAGACTGTACTCAGGGAAGCAAATTCCTTCTCTCTGCTGGTCTCTGGCACCCCCACCCCACGCCCACCGACTTCACAGTTTAAATGAGACTATGAATGGGAAAGCATCTGGAACATGATCCCAAACACTGAATTTCTTAATTGTTTCTCTTTTTATATTCCTTCAAGATATTCTGGCATTTGTCTAGGTTTTCTCCTATTATTTTCTATTCCAGGGGTTTCCAAAGTAGGGTGCTTAACCCTCAAAAAGTATGCTACATTGGGGTGTGAGATAAATATAAATAAAAATTTTCATTTTTATTTTAAATGTAGTGGGAAAGAAGTTAAGTGCTTCCAATATTTGACCTATTGATTGCTGTATGGATATAATTATAAATATACATATACTGGGTGGGCATGCTCAACATTTTTTCTCTGATATGGGTAAGTGATGAAAATGTTTGAAGACTAATGCTCCATTCTCACACCTCTATAGCCACTGAACCCTCTGGATGCAATCACTTTTGTTCTTCTTCCCTGCCTTCTTTTGATTTAAATAGTATTAGCCCTTGCTTTATTTTCAAAGACAGAGATTTATAAATTTCATAGGGAAAATCTTGTTTTATCCTAACTCCACTTCTTGTTTTCTGCATAGGACATGGGAAGCAGTAACCCTTTCCCATAAAATGCGAATTATTCATATAAGGTAATTTATTGTTTAGGATAATGTCAAACTGAAATGCTTTTGATTTAATCCTAGAAATTCAGTAAAATAAAATAGGAATGTGGGCTCTGGGTCCAGGTGGCCCTGAGCTAGATGACATTAGGCAAGTTACTTAACCTGAATCTATGCCTCAGTCTCCACATCTGTAAAATGGGAATAATGAGAGTACCTGCCTCATCAGAATAAGGTGGCAATTTAAGGAATTAATACCCATAATATTATGAGAACAGGGTCAGTTGCATATAAAGCACAACAGAAGTTTTCTGCTGTCATCACTATAATCATCATCTTCATCTTGGAGCTGTCCTCCACACCCAGACTGCTACAACCCTGAACTAGAAGGAATAGTGGCAGTTGTGGATTCTTTCACTTTCTCAGCAAATATGTACTGGTGGTCTCCTATGTGCCAGGCACTTTACTAAGGGTTGGATGCTTTGCTCCATTGTCAATCTTGTGCTTCTGGATGGTGGGCTGCTAGTTCCCTTGTTAGCAGCCTATGGTCACGTGACTGTGCCAAAGCAGTCCACTTTGCAGTGGATTCAGTTTCTCTTCCTCTAATCTATGTGAGAGGATGTGCTTTTGCAGAATCACTAAACACTGTGGATTTCCAGCCATTTGGAATTTTCAGGCTCAAACAGACTTTCCCTGCATTATTAATTCCTCATGTTATTGCTGTATACTCCTTGGTTATATTATTCTTTCTTTGAACTGTTTGCTTATTGTTCAAGTAGTTCCACTTACAGGGGCCTCTTGTGGGGGATGATTCCTTCAGGTTGATTCAAGGTGTATTCTGCCTCACACTACCTCCATTTCAAAAAGGGTGCATTCTGTCTTTCCAAATTGCAATCTTATGAGACTCCTTGATATTCTTTTTGACAAATTGAAGCATTGGTAGAGGGATAGAGGTTCTCAGTGTAATATATTGTTTGAAAAACCAGCAAATTTAGGGCTGGCCCAGTGGCACACTTGGTAGAGTGCAGTGCTTGGGAGTGCAGCGGCGCTTGGGAGTGCGGCGGCGCTCCCACGAGGGTTCGGATCCCATATAGAGACCGGTCCGCTCACTGGTTGAGCGCGGTGCGGGCGCGACACCGAGGGTTGCGATCCCGTTGCCGGTCGCGGTACGGGCGCGACACTGAGGGTTGCGATCCCGTTACCAGTCACGAAAAAAAGACCAAAAGGAAAAAAAAAAACAGCAAACTTAGTCATAATGATTTTACTATTGAACACTTCTATATTCTTTCATCTCTATGAAGAAATAGTTTTTATAAAAGCTTAGTAAAATTACCATTACATTAAAGCCATTCATATTAATCTATGCATATAATCCAGGATATGGGTAGAAAGAAAAGGGGAAACAATAAAGACAGGAATTTCTTTCATATTTTCTTCTTCTGATCCTTTTACTTCTCATACACCAACTAATATAATTTTGGGGACCATCCAATTCAAGATTGAGTCTGACAAGGGGCTGGAATTCCCAGACCAATGACTGATCCTCCCAGGCTCCAGCGAGAAAAGAAATGCAAATTTTAAATCAATGTTCTCTAAATATTTATTTTGTTATGAATTGTTTGAATTGTTCTATGTCCTGACAAAACCACTGTTTTATGTCAAAACTTAGACATGATGAGCAAAGTCAGATATTTCATTTTTCCAACCTGTGGGCTAAAAATAAAATGTTGGTGCTGGAATTGAATGTTGTATTCTCCAAGCAGAGGAAGTGGGCATTTTATTGGATGTTATTGCTGCTTTCTTCACAGTAATGACATTATGAAAGCTCTTTGAGTAATATAATTTGAAAATATTGTTTCTGTGTTTCAGGTCATGCAAGACAAGATAATCTGCCTTCCGAAAAGAGTGCAGCCTGCTCAGAACCAGTCTTCCGTTTCGAATGTCTCTCAGGCAGTTGCCAGTACCACCCCACTGCCTCCACCTAAACCATCTCATACCAACCCTGTCACTGTGGAAATGAAAGGACTGAAGACAGACTTAGACCTTCAGCAGTACAGTTTCATAAACCAGATGTGTTACGAGCGAGCCCTCCACTGGTATGCCAAATATTTCCCTTACCTTGTCCTCATCCATACCCTGATCTTCATGCTCTGTAGTAACTTTTGGTTCAAATTCCCTGGCTCCAGCTCCAAAATAGAACATTTTATCTCCATCCTGGGGAAATGTTTTGACTCTCCCTGGACAACACGGGCTTTATCTGAAGTGTCTGGGGAGGATTCAGAAGAAAAGGACAACAGGAAGAACAACATGAACAGGTCCAACACCATCCAGTCTGGTCCAGAAGGCAGCCTGGTCAACTCTCAGTCTTTAAAGTCAATTCCTGAGAAGTTTGTGGTTGATAAATCCACTGCAGGGGCTCTGGATAAAAAGGAAGGTGAGCAAGCAAAGGCCTTATTTGAGAAGGTAAAGAAGTTCAGACTGCATGTGGAAGAAGGTGATATACTATATGCCATGTATGTTCGCCAGACTGTACTTAAGGTTATCAAATTCCTAATCATCATTGCATATAATAGTGCTCTGGTTTCCAAAGTCCAGTTTACAGTGGACTGTAATGTTGACATTCAGGACATGACTGGATATAAAAATTTTTCTTGCAATCATACTATGGCGCACTTGTTCTCAAAACTCTCCTTTTGCTACCTGTGCTTTGTGAGTATCTATGGATTTCAGTTTACAGTGGACTGTAATGTTGACATTCAGGACATGACTGGATATAAAAATTTTTCTTGCAATCATACCATGGCGCACTTGTTCTCAAAACTCTCCTTTTGCTACCTGTGCTTTGTGAGTATCTATGGATTGACGTGCCTTTATACCTTATACTGGCTGTTCTACCGTTCTCTAAAGGAATATTCTTTTGAGTATGTCCGGCAGGAGACTGGAATTGATGATATTCCAGATGTGAAAAATGACTTTGCTTTTATGCTTCATATGATAGATCAATATGACCCTCTCTATTCCAAGAGATTTGCAGTGTTCCTGTCTGAAGTCAGTGAAAACAAATTAAAGCAGCTGAACTTAAATAACGAGTGGACTCCTGATAAACTGAGACAGAAGCTACAGACGAATGCCCATAATCGACTGGAATTGCCTCTTATCATGCTCTCTGGCCTTCCAGACACTGTCTTTGAAATCACAGAGTTACAGTCTCTAAAACTGGAGATCATTAAGAACGTAATGATACCAGCCACCATTGCGCAGCTAGACAATCTCCAAGAGCTCTCTCTACATCAGTGCTCTGTCAAAATCCACAGTGCGGCGCTCTCCTTCCTGAAGGAAAACCTCAAGGTCTTGAGTGTCAAGTTCGACGACATGAGGGAGCTGCCCCTCTGGATGTATGGACTCCGGAATCTGGAAGAGCTCTATCTGGTTGGCTCTCTAAGTCATGATATTTCCAAAAATATCACCCTTGAATCTCTGCGGGATCTCAAAAGCCTTAAAATTCTCTCTATCAAAAGCAACGTTTCCAAAATCCCTCAGGCAGTGGTTGATGTTTCCAGCCATCTCCAGAAGATGTGTATACACAATGATGGTACCAAACTGGTGATGCTCAACAACTTAAAGAAGATGACCAACCTGACAGAGCTGGAACTAGTCCACTGTGACCTGGAGCGCATTCCTCATGCCGTGTTCAGCCTGCTCAGCCTGCAGGAACTGGACCTGAAGGAAAATAATCTGAAATCTATAGAAGAAATTGTTAGCTTTCAGCACTTGAGAAAGCTGACAGTGCTAAAACTGTGGCATAACAGCATCACCTATATCCCAGAGCATATAAAGAAACTCACCAGCCTGGAACGTCTGTCCTTTAGTCACAATAAAATAGAGGTGCTGCCTTCCCACCTCTTCCTATGCAACAAAATTCGATACTTGGACTTATCCTACAATGACATTCGATTTATCCCACCTGAAATCGGAGTTCTACAAAGTTTACAGTATTTTTCCATCACTTGTAATAAAGTGGAAAGCCTTCCAGATGAACTGTACTTCTGCAAGAAACTTAAAACTCTGAAGATTGGGAAAAACAGCCTATCAGTACTTTCACCGAAAATTGGAAATTTACTATTTCTTTCCTATTTGGATGTTAAAGGCAATCACTTTGAAATTCTCCCTCCTGAACTGGGTGACTGTCGGGCTCTGAAGCGAGCTGGGTTAGTTGTGGAAGATGCTCTGTTTGAAACTCTGCCTTCTGATGTCCGGGAGCAAATGAAAACAGAATAACTTATTTTTTGTTAAAGTTTGACTGAAACACGCTTCTACCAAATACAGTATAATAATTAGGTAGTCTTAATGCCTTTCCTATTTTATTTTTATGGTTTTTCTTTTTCACACAAAACAAAATGTACACAAAGACTGAGTATAAGGAGTATGTATTTTTAATAAAAATTTAATTGTATTTTTCCAATATTAATATTTTAAAGTTTTATTTGTCTTGGAACCTGATGTACCTATTATTGTTTTCTACTGACAGAAACAGATGGTTCCCTCTGTGTTTTGTTTTTGTTTTTTCAGTTCATTCTTGTGAAAAAGAGGGAATTATAAGTCTCGTGTTATTTGGCATTTTTTTAAATAGATGAAGATATTTTGCCAAGGTCATTTTTAGCTTGTTTACCCCTGTACGGGATCCTTATTTTTGTTTTCACTGTGTATGCACCAAGGAATCTGTGCTAGCTATTGTAATACCAGCCGCCTTCTCCATTGGCCAAGTCCATCATTCTACAGAAAATTCTTCTCCAGAGGATAAATTCACATAAGTGCATTGTCACAGAGTATTATTTTTAAATTTTTCCCCTGCCTCCAACAGAATCCTAAATTGTGTATTTCATATACCCAACAGTTATAATTATCCTTAGGCGAGAATTTTGTAAGTGGGTGAAGAAAATAATTTTTAGTGGTTTGCATACTTGAGTTGGTCATTTATAATTTAGCTGATTTTACCAACATTTTAAAAATATCATTTAAAAACTGAAAACAGAGGCTCTCTCCACCTCCTTAATCTCAATACTGCTATGTAGTACTGGTGAACTACCTTAGAGAAACTAGATTTATTTTAATATCCTAGTAGGTAATTAAATTTTAAAATCATAGAATTAGAAGCCTGTTTTTTGAGTAATTTAATCATCTTTGATGTCTTGATATGCTAATGCATCGATGGAAAAAAATTCACCACTAAAGCACTCTGTTAAAGAGCTGGTGTACTCATCTGACCCTTGCCCTCACTCTGGGCAGTGTGGCAGTGGCAAGCTATTCAAATTCTGCCTGTTGCACAAAATAATCCTCTTATATATACATATATTAATTGATTTTCCTCAATCGATTTTCCTGCCCTTGCTCTGAATGCTAGTGATGCAAGCACAGGAACTCTATCTGCTCTCTGGCTTAAAATATGTATCTCTTCTAAAATGGTTCTGTTATTTTTTTTAAGTGTGAATAAATTGCTACATGGTCATCACTTAGCAATAATTTTCACCTGATGTTTGGCAGAACTTTTGTTTGCCTTTGAACTTAAAAATTAACAAAATGTGGGGTCATGGGCAAAATATTTTACTATGAAGCTGTATAGAACAGGAAAACGAAATACAATATTTGTGCCCTCAATCCAGCACCAATACTACTGATCATGGGAACTTTGCTTTTATGTACCAAACTTATACTGGCCATTTTCTGAGCCCTAGACTAATCTAAGAAAGTTTTGTGACTTAACAATGAAAGAAAGTAGAAAGATGATTTGAGGTTTCAAAATGCTGTTTTTAAAAATTGCTCCTTGATCCTGGTGAATTTGCCCAACGCTACTTTGAAACCTGTACAGAAGGCAATCATGGGAACTGCTCAGCAGTTATGTGTACCTCAGTTTTGTTTTACATTTTATGGTATATCATGGGGTAAAGGATTAGGGAAAGAGATGATTTTCATTTGTTTAATAACTTAATCATTTAGGTCAAAGTGCTCCACAGTTTCTTCCCTATGTTAAAGTTTTAGAATGGCGATTTGTATAGCTCATTACTTATATCTGGAGCTGAAATAATATGTTTGAAATAGTAACATGGTTATTGTTCTTGTACAATAAAATATTCGATCCCAGAATACCGTTCAGATCCTAAGTATAAACAAAGTTGTACATTTAGAAATATAGCCCTATCTATTTAAAACAATTTATTGGCAGATTGTCCATGATTGAGCATGACAAAAATACCCTGTTGAAACGTAAGCTTAGGTAACTGCTGGAAAAACACTGGGTGCACTATTTTTCTGGATAAAATTTATAGTTATTTTCTATATCACCCTTCAAAAGGGATCTATTCAGGTTAAAAATCATATTTATGCTGAAGTCCTTATATGGTGTTAACCAATAATTTCATATGGGTTTGTAACCGAAATAAGTCATTAATTATTCACTCGTAATAATTTGTTCAAAATTCCTAAAGAATTTGATTTGTTTTTTAAATGATTTTGCAGGCTGACCCCCAACCTAAGTTTTAAAAAACATGCAGTAAGTCAGTATAGTTCTATTTTAACTAGGAGAAAATTCATAAATGTTTCTATTAAATTTTATAAAAATTCAAAAGTCACTTAATTTTGAGACTATATTTCCTGACTCTGTCCCTTTTTAATATTGTAAGTCTGCGTTCATGTTCTTAAGTAAAAAGCGTTTAATTACTATTTAGCTTTTAAATGGGAAACTCAGGTAAATGAACTTCTGACTTTTCTAAAGTTCTTTAACTGATCAACTCAGCATATAGGGGTATTTACCTAACCACTTTCTGTATTTTACAAGTGCTCTTGCTAAAAAGGAACAGCTAGTTCTGTTTCTCCATCCTCTGTAGGATTCAAGAGCAACTGTTTGTGTAAATATAAAAGCACCATATGTATTCTTAACTCCTATGACTGCTTGAATGTCATGATGGGTAAGCTTTTTGGTCAGTTTTAATGGTTAAATACAGAACAAACAAGTTTGCTGATGGTCTGGTTGAAAGGGAACATATAACTATATCCCAAAGGAACCCACATAAGAAGGCCACAGCTCAGAAAACTATTGGTATGTGTTGGGTTTTGTTTTGTTTTATTTTTTAACACAGCACCTTTAATATAAAAGTTCTTGATACAGTGAAATCTGTTATTTACAGTCATGAATTTTTTTTATTTTTCATCCACCTCTTTCCCTGCCGTTGTATTTCCCAGCTAGCTTAATGAGTTGTAACAATTTTCATGGGATCTTTTGCAGCAGGTATTGCTTTTTCAGAAAGGCTTGGAAAATATGCCTGCTGTGAGTATTTTGTTCATTTAGAGTGCCTCCTTACCTGGCTTTCAAGCCATCTTTGTGAAGGGGCACTTAAATTATGTGGAATCTTCCTTGGGTTACTAGGGATAAGGGAAGTCCAAGTTCTTGCAGTTTTATGATTTCTGGCATTAAGGAAGAGAAAACAAAATCTTCTTATCTCTTGTTAACATATCCCCCAAGAGGGTTTTGCTGTTGTTTATTTTCTACTATAAGAAAACGTCCACTCTTTCAGCACCACTCTCCCAAGTAAGCCATGGGCCGGCCCTAGAAAATGTCCACTCTTTAAGTAGTTTATTTTACTCTCTAATCTAATTCATACCACATACATGATCAATGGTAATGATATGTTTATTTCAATAGTGAACATTCAGGGCGCATCATCATGAAAACTGTCAACAGTACTTAGTAGTGATCAGATAAGATAAATTTTAATATAATTTTAAATTTTTTTGGAGACTAAATTAAGGTTCAATTAGTATTCTCCCATGAAACCTTGATGCCATAATGCTATTCAAACAGTTCACACTTTTGGTAGGATCGTAAAACTCCATACTAACCTTAAGTTAGCAAAATAAATTAGCAAAACAGCATAGCTATTTGTGAGGAGACTGCTTAAAGGGTCTATAAGATTTTCTCGTTTTTTTCTTGTCTATTTAGAAACACTGTAACAAAACTCGGATAATCTTGACCAGACCTGCCATGATTTTTTCAGATTTAGGCCTCAGGGACCTGATTCTGATATGCCAGCGTTCCAAAGTAGGTATCCACTCATATTCCATCTTCCTAGAGATGGCAGGTCTTGTAACTTTGGACAACTTAATTTCTTGGCCACGTTAAATAACGGTTCCTATGCATGGTTTCAAATGTGGTGTAAATTTGCTTCTTTCTTCTGAATCCCCCCCACACACACCTTATTCTGTCTCTTTAATGAGTATTTTTACTGGGGCCAAAACTCCAGGCCTTATGTGCTTGCTCAGTTTTCCTTCTGCTGCTTGTGTCCTCTCACTGGTCTCTGTGTATTCACATTGAGTCAGTTGCTGGCAAAACCTCTAAGACTGTCAAGAAAATGCTTGAGAGTTGATTTGTCATAGTGCAAATTCATGATATAATGTCTTGATGTTATTTGGCTATGTAGTACATTGGAACAGAAAATAAAGTCATTTTTGTACCTTAAAATTGAGATTTGTCCCTTTCCCATTCATTTTTAGAAATCATGTTTATCGTTTGCATTTCTTAAACTATTACTGAGGCTCCCTGTGCTCTACAGGAAATAGGCTGCGTGCATTCTTTCATTTTGTGTTGAGCTAGTTTCTATAATTGTAACTAATTACTTCCTTCCTTAATTCACTGTACTGCATCTACCTAAGGTGCCTCTGGAGTTTCATTTGGGCAATTAGTGCCTTAATATGTAATCTGGAGTGTAATTTCTGTGTATTTGCCAGATCAGATTGCACAATAGCTGTCCAGCTCGGCTTGCAGTAAATACTCTTTTGATAATGACTGTTGTTACTTTAAAGGAATCAGAATGGTTCTGCACAGTTAGGAGGCCTCCCCTAATTAACCACATTCACTCCATGCTTAGGGAAGCCCTCTGCAAGAAAACTTACATATAAGCAGATTGTGATTGGTATCTTTGAAAGCTAAATTGTCACTTTACATACTTTTCTATAATGTTTATTTTACTGATAGTCAACTTTCTGGAGAAGGACTATTGAGATGAGGAAGGATGGTGAGTGTGGTGGGAGAAGCCATGTGAATATGTGTATCAGAAACTTAGAAGAGATTTTGTGAGAGCTCTGGAGAAATTTTGGAGACAAGAGCTGGGGAATGTAATGAATAGAGACATCTGGCGATTTCAGTGCAATTTGCACATAAGGAAAAGACTGCCACTCTTCACTGTTTCATCTTTGGTCCTTTCATTTATACAACATATAGAGATAAAAATCTGATATTAAATAAATTGATTCAGTTATCATTGTTGGCTAGCAAGATATAAGATAAACATTTTGTTTGGGTGGAGAAGTAAATGCATAAAGCAAAAGTCACTAAGTTAACTTGAGACTCAGAGGGACTCAGAGACTCAGTGATTTTACACAGTCATAACACAGGGTCTGCACATTTCTGAATGGAAGTTTGAAGGTCATCCTAAATATCCAAGTAGGAAAAAAGCAAAGAGCTCTTCTTTAACCACATTATCTTTTGTGTATAAATCTTTGAATACAGGTTATACTTTAGATTTCATACTTAAACATATTTGACCACAGCAAGGTGCAAATGAACATTTATCTGATCAGACATACCATAAGAGATAGAATGTTTTCAGAATTTGAATATTTTGCATGAAAGATAAAAGATAGGCAACAGTATTCTCAAACATCTAAACCAAATTGGCCATTCTGATAATTTTGATTCAGGGGTTCTTCTGTTATAAAGTTTGAGAACAAGTAGATGGATTTTCTATTTAATTTGTTTTTTTAATCCTTTAATAAAGGAATAATTTTATTTCAGCTCAAGTTACATCTAGACATATACGATAAAAAATGGGCCGACGCCGTGGCACACTCAGGAGAGTGCGGCGCTGGGAGCACAGCAGCACTCCCGCCACGGGTTCAGATCCTATATAGGGATGGCCGGTGCACTCACTGGCTGAGCGCGGTGCGGGCGACACCAAGCCAAGGGTTGCGATCCCCTTACCAGTCACAAAAAGGACAAAAAAAAAAAAAAAGGTGTCTAGCTCAGATTTGGGGAAAGTGACACAAAAGGGGCAACATGGAAGTTTTTCGTTTTAAATCTTCTCCATAGTTCTTCTAACAACAACAAAAAGTCAACTTCCCAGAAGTGATTCTGATATGGCAAATAAACTATAACATTTCTTCACTATGAATCGTGAAGTTTTGGGGGATTTCATTGTAATTTCACATAGATAAGTTTTTCGTTTTAAATCTTCTCCATAGTTCTTCTAACAACAACAAAAAGTCAACTTCCCAGAAGTGATTCTGATATGGCAAATAAATTATAACATTTCTTCACTATGAATCGTGAAGTTTTGGGGGATTTCATTGTAATTTCACATAGATTGTGTGTAATGTTGTTAAAATCATACTCTAAGTAAAATTTGGACAGATTTGAATATCTCTCTTAGGCTGATTTAGTCCAAGAATAATTAAAACATGAAGACATATTCACTGCATTTGAGGAATAGATGTCCACAAGTTTATGATAAAGTTAATGAGTTTCATTTGTATCTATTGAATTGTATGTATAAATTATATTTCCTAGTGATTTAAATTTCTCTATAGAGTAGCCATCCTCAACAAAAATCTGAAAAGCTGTGTACAACAATGGAAACCAAATTTTATTTCTTGGGGGCAGGGCTTTTCTGTGAGCCTTTCTAACAGGAAGTCAATGTGTTCAAAATTAGCAGACTGTTTTTTCTTAACTGTCCCCAGTTTCTATCCTCTAGTGGTGTGACTCATAAACTTTCCTGGTAGTCATACTCTGAGCCTTAACAATATCAGTGTGCTAACAGATTTAGTTGTTTTATGCATCCAGAAACAAAGACAGGATGTTGACAGCATTTACTTCAGTGAGGAAGTATGCAAAATGAATTCATACTTGTGAAATTGAAAACTAGAGACACAGCTTTAGTCAAAACAACTCATTCTAAACATTTGGCTACATAAATATTTTGCTAGATCCAGGTAACCTCTTAAAGAAACTGAATTCATATCAAGTGGAAATATAAAGGATGCCAGAGGGATTAAGTACCTGATTTGTATTAAATGAGGCTACTGTTCATTTGGAGGGAAGAGGGTGCAGCAGGAATGGAGCTGTGACTTGCTTAACAGGCAGCCTCCTGATAAAGGATGTTTAATGTGCTTTCTAAAATTCAGGATGATTTGTTGCCCTTTAAATTCTACCAACAACATTAAAACAATCAAATCTCAAGTACAGCAAACAAGCTAGCTAATTATTTTCAGATAATTTTCCCTAACTCAGAAACTTCTAGTGACTATTGAGTGCTTTAATTATGAATCTAAGAACTTGCATCAAAAAACCCTAAAAGTCGGGGCCAGCCCAGTGGTGCACTGGATAAGTGCGCCGCTTGGGAAGCGCAGTGGCGCTCCCGCCCGAGGGTTCGGATCCCACATGCAGACCGGTTCCCGCTCACTGGCTGAGCGAGGCGCGGGAGCAACACCGAGGTTTGCGATCCCATTGCCGGTCCCCGGTCCGGTGCGGGGGCAACACTGAGGGTTGCGATCCGTTGCCGGACACGGAAAAAGACAAAAGACCAAAAAAAAAAAAAAAAAAAAACCCTAAAAGTCAATGTCAAAACCTGATAGTAAATACTGAGAACTGTCATTCTTAGCACTGACTATGCTAAGGAAAACAATTATAAGACAAAAGGTACATTCTGGCTTGTTTTAAAATGTATAGAATCATATACATTTTTTTCTTATGTGTACAGGGAGGAAAAAAAACATTATGCAAAAATTTATCCAGAACTCTATAAATGCCTTAAGTAGGCCCATTAATAAAGGAGTTATACTTACTCTATTTATGCATTTTCTTTAGGCAAGGGCACATAGAGTGTTAGGTATTCATAGAAATGCCCCTTCCATCTTCAGTTCTGTCCATTCAAATCCAACTTAGGGCTCTTCTTGTATTAAAATCCCTGAGACTTTTAAAAGGGTTTTTAAGACTTATTTAGATTTTTTCCAACACTTTCTACTTGCCTCATTATTTAGGGCACTTAGCACTTCCTTGCATTATGGTTATTATCTCTCCTTTCCAATGAGTGCAGAAACCAAGACTTATTTATCTTTGTATTTCACTACAGTGCTTACCATTGTGACTTGTACCCAATGGGCTCCAAAAAACATATTGCAGAATCAATCAAGAGGTCTAACCCCATTCACTGAGGGCCTTGGACTGTGAGGGGACATCATCCCTGTTCACATCTACTCCTGGGTATATGAGTTTCTTAGGGCTACATAACAAAGCACAACAAACTGGCTGGCTTAAACAAAAATTTATCACCTCACATTTCTAAAACAAGGTGTCTGCTGCAGAATTGGTTCCTTCTGAGGGCTGTGAGGGAAAATTTTTTCATCCTTCTCTCCTGTCTTCTTGTGGTTTGCTGGCAATCTTTAGTGATCTTTGACTTGTAGATGCATCACTCTGCCTTCATTTCCATATCGTGTTCTCCCTGCAGGTGTCTGTCTCTATGTCCTAATTTCCCCTTTTTTCTAAGGACACAGTCTTAGTGGATTAGGACTCACCTTAATGACTGTATCTTAACTTGATCTGCAAAGACCCTATGTATTAGTCCATTTCTGCTGCTTATAACAAAATACCTGGAACTGAGTAATTTATAAAAAAACAAAACTTATTGCTTGCAGTTTCAGAGGCTGGGAAGTCCAAAGTCCAGGGAACACACTTGGTGAAGGCCTTAGGAGTGATGGCAGTGACCCAGGGGTCTCACATGGCAGAAAATGGGGAAGCAAAGAGAGCGATAGTTCCTCATGCTTTCTTCTTTCGAAGCCCTTAGACCCATGCCCCTGACCACCATTTTTAATCCATTCACTACTGAATGGTCCTACAATCTAATCACCTCTTCAAGGCCGCACCTTTCAATTACCATAATAGGACTTCCAACCCTCAAGAGTTACTGTGGGGATTTAAGCGTCAGTGAGGTTGGGGGGCATCCAATCTATAGCACCCCATTTCCAAATAATGTCAGTTTCACAGGTACTGGGGGTTAGGACTTCAGCATCTTTTGGAGAGACAAAATTCAATCCATAACACTTAGAAAAGGTACTTCTCTTTCTTGATGAAGCTATTAAATTCTAGGTTTATTCAAAACAGAGACTGTGTGGCCCTTAAAGATCAGTTGGTTCGGAAGTTTTCAAATAGTGTCCCAAGGAGTTCTAACTCTCCAACAAAGTACCTCGGGAGGATTCGGGGAGTGGATAGGGCTCCTGGTTTCATACCTGTTCCAATTACTGTTTCCATGTAACAAACCAGTCCAAAACTTAGTAGTGTAAAGCAACTAATTTATGACGCTCAGATTCTGAGGGTAAGAAATTTGGACAGGGCACATCAAAGACAGCATTTGTTATGCTCCATGAGTCGGGGAGCTAGAATCATCTGGAGACATCATCACTGCCATCTCT